TCTACTGCAGTTCAACAGCAGGGGGAGTGTGAGGCTGCAGAGAGGAGGACAGGGGGGGTTGAGAGCAAGCCCCTGAGGAGGGATGCTGAAGGACAAAGCAAAGAGCAAATTAGTTTTATCTATTTGTTTACTGAGTTATTTAAAACTAAAGTTTCATGGATATTGAATAACAATGTTTTTATGGCGAAATCTTTTCAGCATGAGCCTGTAAAGGAAAGAGACACAATAAAACGGTTACAGTTCTTAAATATTTGTATGACGTGTATGTAGAGCTGCCACATATATTGAACTGACCAATATGAAAACAAATTATCCGATCATTTTGATCATATAAATCTATACTTAAGCAAAAAAGCCTAACATTTTATTTTTGGATGTTTATATGTGGGAATTTACAAAATGTCTTGACATACATCTGCAGAAAAGTGACATAATTTAAACCAGACATTTACCAATGTCCTTTTTGTGCTCTGGGATTTATTTATATCCATCGTCTTTTTCTATAATTTCAAAAAACAACAAGGAAAATAACCAGCCTATTAATCAATAGTGAAAATAATGTTCATTGTTGCCGTACATGTAACACTTTCTTACTGTAACACACCTCTTATGTTGTACTATTCTGTTGGAAAATGACATACTGTTAACAAAGATTAAAAAGACTTGTGAGGAGTATTGCTTTTCAAGGTTGAATAAGGAATAAGCTTGAATAAGGAATAATCACAAATAAAGAATGCAGTTACGTGCTTGTTGATAAGATGTGTGGACACATTTGAAAAGGAACAGATGATGAACACATATATATCAATGTTTTATTATTTTTACCACTACATGGCTACATAGTACATACCATACAACATGGCTGGTGGTCACAATAAAATGTGTTAGATTAGATTATGTATTTTTTGATTTTCTTTCCGCCCTCTGTAAAGGTAGGTTACAGTAGCTCTTATAGAAAAGTATAATGCTCAGTGTGCAACAGTATGATCTGTCTACTGCCCCCACCTGCTGGTTAGAAATCATGTTTTTGTTACTCAACAAATTGAACTGTGGCCAATCTCTTTGTGTTTATTTTTCTGAGGCTTAGTGTGTGTGTGCGCGTGTGTGTGTTTTACACAAAGAGATGTTCAGTCACTTCCACCCACTTAGTTTCTCTCTATCTGGTTCACACTGATCTCTCTCCCACACTTCTCTTGCACCCATTTCCACCTAAGAGCAGAACCGCAGGGGGTCGCTGCATCGAGGTCGTCGGCCTAAGGAACTTCACATACTGACAAGCACAAATAATCAGCCGCCCTGTTATAAAAAACCGCAAGGGGAGTAATAACAGTTTGCAGGCCAGTGTTGTTTATATCACACCATTGCTCTCACAAGCCGCAGGAGGGGAGAGTCTGTGACCTTAAGAGCTGCGGGTCCTGCACTGTCTAATTCCATGTTTATGGTTTTGCCTTTTATAACACACACAGACGGAGCTGCCCCGGCCACAAGCACACGGAAATATCATCATGCGCCCTCTCCACTGCTAATTGGTGCCTTGGTACCATCCTCTGGTGAGGAGCAGCTTTATGCAAGGCGAACCTGAACAGCCTTTTCTCTTTCTTTTGCTCAATAGCATTCACTGCACATCCGTCAAACCCACTTTAAAATGGAACAAGACTCAATTCAAAAAAGACTTTTGTTTATATATAAATTCATATAAACATAAGTCAAATGTGACTAAGATCATTATACTTTAAGATTCGTAACCTTTTTCTTGCTCACATCTTAAACATTTTGGGTTATTTAACACAGAAAATATTTAAACCATTGTTCCTTTCGTGGGAGGCTTTAATATTTTTAAATCCCTCTATGTTAAGACCTTGAAGAAAGAAATTATGATTATGGTTAAGTTGTTGTGAAAACCCTTTCAAAGGACCGCAAGCGCTTCAACAAGTGTTGACATTTTTAGAACACTGAAATTACACAGCAGTTCAACATTATGGTTTCCTTGGCAACAGTGCAAAGTACTCTGACTCTTACCAACTTTTACACCTAAGCTTCACACACGCCTCAAATCTGCAGATCAGTAGGTTCACCAGGGAAACTGCATACTTATAAACTGTACTGTTACAATGCCAGAGTTAGCCTGGAAGCTATGTTTTAACCATAGTAACTGACGATGTTATCCTAAAGTCAAGAAACAAGTTTGAAACAATAATCATGAAGTGAGGCATATCAATTTCAGTAACAGTAAAACCCAGACAGCCATAAGCATGACACAGACATTGGCAGTAAAAGCTTTTAAAACATAATACACCTCTGTATTGCTCTGCTCATAAATGGTGAGGGCATATTTTAGGACAAGACTTATATCAAAAGAATAAACCTAAAGGTGAGCTTGTATTAGAACAGATGATAGGAGCATGTAGAGAGAAAACGCACAGCAGTTTGGGAGTGGACATGGAGGGATGAATGGCTTGCGGTGCTGCGGGTGATGTGGAGACGACAACAAAGTAATTATGGGACGACTAAGGATAGATATAGAACTGGGAAAGGGAGACTGGGAAGGAGGAGAATAAGCGGGTGGGGGTGCAGTGCTGCTGGAGTCTCCATCACGCCATGATAGTTAATTAGCCTCTGCTGTGGTGGCAAACATATTCTGTAGCCATCTGGAGCAGGGGGAACTGTCTACCTTTCCACTTTTAGACAGCTCCGCTTGTCTGTAGTTCTTCTGTATGGATTGTGTGTCATTCTGTCTGTTTTCTATGCGTCATGTTTATATACAGGTCTATCTGTCAGTCCATCTGTCTTAGTGATATCTTCCAGCTGTCTAACATATTGAATAAGGACCCTGATAAATCCCTGTGGTATTATAATATATTCATAATATGTACTCATCCACAGAATCACACGAACAGTGGAGCATCTTTGGCTTTACTGCTTTTCTCTCATCGTCCACAAGGGGTCATGGTTACATTGAAATTATTCCTCAGCAGGTTTCCTCAGTCATCTGGGTTTGGTGGTTTCTTCAAACCATGGGTTTCATGTGCAATTAATTGGGTGTAAGGAAAAAGACAGAGTAGCTGCAAAGTTTGTCTCTTTTTTTATTTTACCTATCTATTTTTTGTAATTAGTTCAATTGGATCTTTTTTAATATTATTATTATTGTATTCACCTAGTGCTGGAGTCTGCAACCTTTTTGACCAAAAGAGCAATTTTGCTCCTTTTTCCAAAAAATAAAATTGTCTGGAGCCGCAAAACATATTTCATAGCTTGATAGCTAATAAAGTTGTATTTATTGTTATATCAGACAAAAACTACAGTTTTTTGTGTATTTACTAGG